TTTTTACTGCAAACTAAATCTTTTAGGCTTCACTGTTTCCAATCCCTTCCTTTCAATCTGAGAAAATCAATGACGAAGACCAATATTAACTAGTAACACTAAAACAACATCGCAATATAACAATCATTTAGTTTGTCAAATCCAAGATTATCACTAAATGTTGTTAAAGGTAACCAACATGGTTATAATCCGTTGTTAACTTCTTTTCCTATTGCTAAAACCATATCTCGATTTTAATCACTTGCATAAATGAGGCATCCTTTTCTGTGCAGCTAGAATATCAAAATTCCCAACACCACCAGCAGACACACTGTTTCTCCTGGCTTAAACTGTAAAAAAAAAACCCGCACTATGCTCATGCTCCAATCTTGAATTCCAATAACATTTATCCAAACTTTGGCACTTGAAACTCATTATTTCCAAATTAATCAGCATCTGCCTTGATATTTGGATACATTTTTTCTACAAACATGTAAGAGCCACCAGAAATTAGATGTCTTTTCTATCAAAGTAACTGACACATGATACAAAATCAAAAGAAAGCTGTGAAATAAACTGAACCTTTTAATAGCAATTGTGACTGGAAGGCTGGCGATACAGATCAAAACCAGCATCCGCAAAGAGTTTGGCTACTTGTTCTGCATTTAGAACAAATTAATGGTTGGATTTTTTTAAAGAATTCTTATGACATTATTGAATTTCTTACCAACTTTAAATAGAAAAGGAGAAAACTAATGAATTTTTGAACATCAAGTTCATACTATGATGGTTTTAAAGTGAATTAATGAATCAGGATTGTTAGATAGGGAATTATCTGTGTTAATTAATTAAGCTATTGTTAATCATAGTGCTGAAACTTGATTTGGGATCTAATTTCTGATCTAAGGTTATTTGAGGCACGAACGTGTTTGATTAAATGTTTTATAAAAACTTAGATGAGAAAAATATTCTTAACCAACTAGAGTTGATGTTATCGTGTTTTATGAACTTAGCCAATTTGGTTATAATGCATGTTTAAGTTGTTATAAATCAATATTCATACATCTACAACATGTTATATATATTTAATACTCGTAGATGACACTGATCCAGTCTAGTGATTTGAATTCAAATACATGCAAAGAAATGCTTTATGAAATCAAGTCTGATTCATGGCTACATGGTTTCAAGGGTGCACACAAGATTCAAGATTCTTCAAAGTAGATAGAGTGTATAATACAAGAAAAGAGAACCACTAGGTTTTATCAAACAACATTGATCTTACCAGATCCTATTGTTGGTTCTCTTACATTATTGAACATAAAGATAAATAAACTTAAAAGCTCGACATAATTTATTATATAATAGGAGAGTTTTCTCTCTATCTAGGGTGTCCACATCAGCACCAAAAATGAAAACTAAATTTAATATCTCAGTTAATTCACACACATTAATAACTATTATTTTTCACTAAAAAAAATATTATTACTATTACTAAAATTAATAATTTAATTATGTATACACTATTTATAATTCTTATATTTTAATCAAGAAAAATAATAGTAAAAACTGAAAAAAACAATTAGGAAAAAAAGGATGATAAAAGAAAGTCCAAAGACGATGAAAAAAATAAAAAAAATAGGAGAAAGAAGAAAAATTAAAATATAATTAAGACGACACAGATGAATACGAAGTAAAAAAAAAGAATACATACACCAAACAAATAAAAATAAGAGACGCAAAATAAGAAAAAATGATTTTTTTTAAGAAAAAATTAGAAGTCGAAGATGATGAAGAAGATGATGAAAAAAAAAGATAAAAGATAGAAAGAAGAAAAACACAAAAATGATGAAAAGCAATTTTGAAAAATGCATAAATAAAAACGTTGAAGATTAGAAAAGAGACGATAATATGAAGATAGAAAAAATTAAAATTCATGATTCAATTAATTCCCACATTTTAAAATAGTATTATTTTTTAAAATATAAAAATTAGTACTAAAATTAATGACTTAATTAATTCAGACATTTTTATAATAATTATTTTGTATCAAGAAAAAAAGAAGTAAAAACTGGAAAAAAAATAATAAGTAGAAATAGTTAAAGAAAAAGACGATGATGAAAACAAATATCAAAGAAGATAAAAAAAATTTAAAAAAATAATAGCAAGAAGAAATAATCAAAATATAAAAAAAAATTACGCAGATGAAGACAAAATAGACGAGGAATAATACATATACGAGATAAGTAAAAATAAAAGATAAACTAAAATCAGAAAAAGAAGATGAAGAAAAACTGAAAGGAAAAAAAAAAATAGAAGTCGAAGAAGATGAAAAAAAAAAGGTAAAAAAAATGAGGAAGAAGAACACAAAGCTGATAAAGAGAAATTTCAAAAAATACAAGAACAAAAATGTTAAAAATCAGAAAGAAGAACAAAAATGAAACTAACAAACTATAATAATATAAAAATGAATAAAGAGTCTAATAAAAAATAAAAAGAAAAATATGATGAACTAACTGTTTAAAAAATAAAATTCTGCGCAACACGTATATCATAAATAAATCTAGAAGTTAATATATATATATATATATATATATACTTAGAAATATTAATAGAAGATAATAAAAACAATAATTAAGAGAAATTTGTTGTTATAACTAACCGAACACATTGTGTTTTTTTATAAAATAATATATAAAAAATATAAAAACACAAACATAAAATAAAATCCGCGCGAAGCGCGGACTCAACCCTAGTATTTTAAACTCGTCTCCACCATGTGACTGACATTAACTCCAGAAGTTATGGAAAGGATAAGTGACAAATTTCAGATCTCAATCATTTTTCTTGAAACTCTGAGTCATCCTCTGCTTTCACCGTCTTCGACACGAATGTAACCGGTTTCTTCGGGTGCTCATTTATGGTCAAATTAAAAACATCTGGCTTCGAGTAATGTCCAACCACATCGAAGTATAACTTGGCTCTTGCAATATCACCAAGATCTGTATGAGAAACAGAACGGTATTGACATGATTAGGCAAAACAAAAAATTAGCATTTTCTACACTAAAGCCTTGGATGAATATCAAAGAAGAGTTATACCAAGATTAGCTGTGATGATACCCTCTGATTTAAAGTTTGGTCCGGCGAGAACCTTTCCCAATGGTGAAATAATGACACTACCGCCTGGGGAGACAATAGCATCATCTCCTTTGTAGTCGTCCGAATCAGTAAACAAGTAATCAGGATGCTCAGGGAAATCTTTACGCTGACAAAACTGGCAAGCCGACAAGACGAAACATCCACCCTCGAGGGCAATGTGAAGCATCGACGATTGCCATTCCTGTGAACCATCAGCAGTAGGTGCACAATAAATCTCGACGCCTGTCAATATGAAAATTGTTAGGAGTCTTTCATTAGAAGCAAATTCAGACTTAATCTAATATATAAACATCTTTATATTGGTCCCTTGTGCCAACCTTCACTCATGCCAATTGATTCTAAGTTATAAATCTTGGAATAAGATATGATGGCGATCCTAATGAAGAGTTCAATTCAAGATAGACTAGAAAAATAATTGATACTCCTCAAAGCGTAATAGAAATATCACTTTTTGTTCAAATATTAGAAGAAACATATTAGAAACACTTTAAATATCTCACACTATAACAAAAATTTTGGATTTAATATATTACCTAAGATATTAGAAAAATAAGTCACGGTTACTTATGACTCCTAAAAATGAGATTTCAAAACTAACCTTTTGCGTACAAGGCAGTTCTGTAGAGAGGCATCCTATTTTCCCAGCAAATAGCAGCACCAAGTTTGCCAATGGGAGTGTCGTAAACAGGAATGGTTGATCCATCTCCATAACCCCAAATGCAACGTTCAAGAGATGTCGGCATGAGTTTACGGTGCTTCCCCAAGAACCGACCTTCGGAACTGAAGAACAGGGCTGTGCAGTAGAGTGTATAACCTTCCTTCTCTATAGCCCCCATCACCATGTACACATTGTTTTTCCTAGCCACCTCCGCCAATTTTTCTACTTCAGGGCCTGTAGATTCATCACAAAACCAAACAAATGTGCAAGAAAGAGTTATGTTATGACTCAAGTTTGTTGTGCTCAATTGAAGTATAAGTATAACTAGCCTAATTGAGTTTGACATCCTAGTCCATCTAGTCACTTTGCCACTTTTATTTCTTTTTCTTTTTTTGGTGAAAGCACTTAGCCATTTTTGCAAATGAAAGTTAAGATTTGGTTTACTCGTTACTCACACTATTCAGTAATCAGATGCTTTTTTCCAGAAAAATCCAGTCTAACAGTTTCATTAGCAGAGAACTCAGAAATCAAACATGTTTTACCTCAAAGTTAAGTTTAATTTTGGCCTAAATAAATTTCAATTGTCAGTGGTGAAATATATACTAAAGAAAAACTGACATATACCAAGCTATACTTGCACCAAAAAATTAAAACAAAGGAGGGTTTATTTTTTATTTATTTTAGTGGATTAGAAATTTTTGTAGAAAATTATAATTTACTGTAAAGTTTACAGATTTTTAAATACAACTACATGTGTATTTTAAATTAGTATTTGGATATCCGTATATTTTCCATCGAATTTAATTTTTTTGTATTTTAACATGGAAGTCTTTCCAAAATCTATTGTGAAATATAATCTATTAATAAATTTATAGGGTTGATTTACATGTGATTTGAATTAGTATTTATAAATCATCATAGAATAACACAAGATTTGAACATAGTTTTAAAAATTATTTAACCAATAACACTGGATTTGAATATAGATATTAAAATTATAAAACCAATAACACTGGAAAACATACTATTCAATACTAGGTGACAAAAACAAAATCATACACTAGAGATTAATTTAGACACTACAAAAAAAAGAAGTATATATCTAACAGGTGAAGTTCCAATTTTCCGGATCCTGAATATTATCAGTATATGTTCGATAATTTTATAAACAGTTTCATAATCGGAGAAATCAGAAAACAAACAAGTTTTACCTCAAATTACGTTTAAGTTTGGACTAAATAAATTCAGTTGTGATTGGTATAATATATTATTATACCAATTCTACAGAAGCTGACAATATACTAAGCAAAAACTTGCTGACAAAATAAAATTATACACTAGAGACAAAACAATACAGAAAACAACAATATCTATTCAAGTACATGTGATAGACCCGGTTTTTAAGGATCCTGAATATTGTATCCTATGTTTGGACCCGTAAGATTGATCCATCGAGATATGCACAGAAAATATTAAAAATTTCGAAAATTATTTATCTTTTAACAATCATGGTATGATAATCATTACACAAAGGTATGAAAATAAGAAGTCAACGGAGTCAAAAAAAAAGAAAGAAAGAGCGTCCAATGAATGTAAGTTTCTCTATAAGCAAAATTCAGATTATTAACAAACCAAGAAAGATATGAAAATAGTAAGTCAACTGAAAATAGATTATCCAAAGATGGAAGTTTCGCTTACCAGGAACATGAATAGCAGAAGCATGATACTTTCGGAACTCATCACGACCTTCATCGTTATGAACACCAACCGCTAAACCAAACCTAAACCCACGAGGATAGCCACCGATAAAAGCCTCCGGGAACACCACCAGCTTAGATCCGTTGCTTGCCGCCTCTGCGGTTAACTTCTCCGCCTTTTCTGCAAATAAGTCAAACCATTTCATAAACTTTTGACTTCATTTAGGCTTCGTCTCAGATATTTTATCCGTTGTGAGCTTGAAGGAAACGATTTTGTTTTAAATACCAAAAAAAACATGAGAGGAAAGATGAATTTACCTATAGTTTTGGGAGTATCGTTATAGACGGTAGAAGCTTGGACGATGGAAACTCGAATGATGGATGATGAGGAATCTCCGTTAACCGGAGTAACTTGAGTAACCGGAGTAGTGTTGTTGAGAGTTGACATTTCTTCTGTACCAGACTTGTATCACTGTTAAGCCTTCTTTGTTAATTATGTTGTATCACTTGATAGGCAATATATAGACTTTAATGTTATCTTTACCTACGGGCCAGGCAAGCCAGGTAAGTCAGGCGTTCCATATAAATATTTTAATGTATTTTCAATATATTATTTATTAATAGTACCAAACCCAATAATTACAGTTGACAACTGTATTTATTACTTCTCTTATTGTACATTTCAGCCAGTGCTCAAAATTGCTAGGCGGTAGGCGTGCGGACGAGCTCCGACTAGCGCCTAGGTTGAAAATTGGTGATTAATCGCTGATTAATTGGTGATAAATTTTTTGATTAATTTATATTATATTTAATTTTTAATTATTTATATTAATAATTTTTAGATGATTTTGGAACTTAAACTCGTTTATATTTGATTTTGATCTGATTTTATTGTAGTTTAGTTGAATTGAAATTGCTAATTAGGGATTATGTCGTCAAAATTGTTAATTGGTTAAGTATTAAATGTGATGTCGTTTTTAATTGGAAAAGAAAAATAATAGGGTTGATTTTAGGCCGATTTGAGAAAAAAACATGAAAATTTTATTAATAAAATTGGGCCAATTTCAAAATTTTTGAGATTTTTTGGGTTGATTTTCAAAAATTAAACGATAATTTTATTTTTTAATCGGAATCAGGCGGTTTTAGGCGGTTCTAGGCGGTAAAAAATCAGAGAACCGCCTAGAGCCGTCGCCTAGCACCTAGTCGAAGCGGTCACCCATCGCCTAGCGCCTAGGCGGCCAACTAGGCAGCTAGGCGACCGAGTTTTGGAACAGGGATTCCAGCTCATATTTTTTACTTCACTTATTCGATAATCAATTTCTGACCCTAAAAAGTAAAGTTATTGAACAATAAAGAAAAACAAAATATGTAAATCGATCCTAAAAGTAAATATATTATTTACGATATAAAAAAATAAATTTATAAATGATTCTTCATCTAAAAAGGTAATATTACTAAAAAACAAAAAGAAATCTAATAAAAGCAATGTCTTTTCATCATAAATACAAATTTATTTTAGTAAGTAAAAGTTATTTTCTATTATTTTTTAAATTATTATTTCAAATTATATATAATTTTAATTTCTGTTATAAAAATTCCTACGATTCCTGTGTAAAATTTGTTTAATTGTTATGAAAATATTGAATGTCTAACCAATTTTAAATAGAAATTTAAAATACTGGAACATATATGTTTGCTTTTACATAACAAGTTCATATATATAACGGATGCCAAAACAAAAAAGTTCATATAATGATAGTTTTCAAGAGAATTCATAAATGGCAATGTAAGATTGTTAGAAATCGAATTATGTGTTTATTAATCTGTTGTTGATCATAGTGCTGAAACTTGACTTCGGATCTAGTTTCTGGTTTTAGTATAGTTGACGCACTAAAACTGTTTAATTGAATCTCGGATAAAACATAGATGAGAAAAGTTATCCTTAAGCAACTAGAGTTGATGTTACTTTTTTTGGTGAACTTATCAAATTCGCTTATAAGACATGTTTCGGTTTTGAAAGTTAGTATTCATCCATCTACAACATAGAGATTTAATACTCAGAGAAGAGATTGATCTAGTTTAGTATTATTGAATCTGAGAAGGATGCATAATTCATTTTGTGTCTGATGAAATCAAAGTTTGCTTCAGGGATACATGGTTTCAAAGCTGCACAAGATTCAAGGTTCTTCAAAATAAATTACATAACATTGCAAAACAAGAGAAGAGAACCACTTGGTTTTATCATATATATATATCCAATTGGTTCTCTTACATTATTGACCATAAAGATAAATAAACTTAAGAACTGGACATACATATTATTTTAAACTTGACTCCACCATGTGACTGACATTAACACCAGAAGTTATGGAGAAGATAAGTAGACGACTTTCAAATCTCGATTATTTTTCCTGAAACTCTGAGACATCCTCCGCTTTCACCGCCTTGGACACGAATGTAACCGGTTTCTTCGGGTGCTCATTTACGGTCAAGTTAAAAACATCTGGCTTTGAGTAATGTCCGACAACATCGAAGTATAACTTGGCTCTTGCGATATCACCAAGATCTTGATGGGAAAAAGAACGTTATTGATATAATTAGGTAAAAGTATTATCGTTCTCTATACTAATATCTAAGATGAATATCAAAGAAGAGTATAATATATACCAAGATCAGCTGTGACGAGACCCTCTGATTCAAAGTTGGGTCCAGCAAGAACCTTTCCCAATGGTGAAATAATGACACTACCGCCTTGAGAGACAATAGCATCATCTCCTTTGTAGTCGTCAGCGTCGGTAAACAGGTAATCAGGATGATCAGGGAAATCTTTACGCTGACAAAACTGGCAAGCCGACAAGACGAAACATCCACCCTCGAGGGCAATGTGAAGCATCGACGATTGCCATTCCTTTGAACCATCAGCCGTAGGTGCACAATAAATCTCAACTCCTAGCAGCCCAAAATCAAAATTGTTTGAAGTCTTAATTATACTAGATGAATACCCGTGTATACACGCAGGTCTTTTTTGCTATGCATTTTTTTTTAAAATCTCACAACAAATTAATGACTTTATTACTGTGTAAAAATCTATTATTTCTGTTATACATATTTAAAAACAGAGAGATTTTTTTGTTTTTTATCTATTAAATTGTTCTAAAAATCTATATTTTAACCTGAATGTACTAATGTATTTTAGATTATATCATGTTATGCTCACTTCTCTCTACTCCTATGAAAATTTCTTAGCTTTCTCTTAACCACAATGATATAGATTTCTTTGTTGCACATCGTTAAAAGTTATAGTTGCAATATTAAAATATTACTCTAAATCCACTTTGAAAACTCTTTTTGTATTTTGGATTTGTAATTTTCTTAAAAAACCTAATTAGACGATAACATTTGCCAATGAAATCACCAAAACACAATCCTAATCTAATCCTTCTAAACACTACAGACACACACACTCAAATAGATTCTTTAAACGACAACATTTTACTACTTATTCCTTCATCTTTTGTTCTACTTAGTTCCTATATGATTGGTGCCAAACTTTCAATAATCCTTCTTTTTTTGAACATGGTAAAATACATTTACCTCCGTTTAGTAGGTCATAAGCATTTCTATGGAATGTATTAAAATAATTAGTAGATTTTTTATTTTAACCATTAATTAGCTAAACAAACTGTCATACGTATCCACAAACATTTACATAAACTTTATACTATAAAAAAATAAATAAAATTTTGGTAAATTGAATCAAAGAACTCTTAAGCAATACAATAACATTGCTACTTATTGATCAGCTAGTATATCCTACACATAATCACAATTAGACTAATAAAATATAGACCCCCATTGGTGATCTCCATGCAAAGGAAAATTGTATAGTGGCTGCTTAGCCTTCGCATGGATATTTTGATGTCTACTGAAATAAAGAAATCGAAAGCTTTTATAGGTCATCTATGATTCTCTGTTAAGTTAGTAATTGATATTGTATCTAATAGTCACTCTGATTTGCTTTGATTCCTCTTTTCCTTACTTCCTCAAACAGATATACCTTTCTCAATATTCTCCTTTGCGATGGTGATGATCTATTCTTTCTCTGCAACGTCATCCATTCTGATTTCCGGACACTTGTTCTCCTTCCTCTTGTTTATGTGCTCTCTCTGCTTTTTTTTTCTTTATCATTAATCTCCTCCTCTCTATCACTCTCTTACTCACGGCTTGTCCTCTCTTCTCTTGTCTTCCTCTTTTCACGACTCTTTCTCCTCTTTTTTTAATTTCTTTCTTATTTCTCATCTTCTCTCTCTCAGCTTTTTATGACTGCTCCTATATTTTTCTTATTTTTGGTTCAGTAATCTAACTAAGATAACTTGTATATAAGGAGAGATACATTAGTTAATTTAAGGGAGATGAATCACACTTTTTAAGACATTATCTTAATAAATGTATGTTTATCACTAAATTCAATGATTTAAGTGATAAATTGATGCTTATTTACGAAGAGATTTTTGAAAATTATTAAATAATAAAAATTTAATAATTTTTTAGAAGCTGATGTGTCCAAAGAATAGGTGCTTAGGTGTCAAGTTTGTGAGACAAAACTCACTCTTTATATAATAGATTATAAGTTAGAAGTCTTATATAATATATATGGGGAAAATGAGTCAATTCTACTGATGGTTTCAATATATATGAGACAAATGAGTCAATTTCACTCATGGTTAATTAAATATAAATTGGAAATCCATGAATATTAGCATGGTATCAAAGTCTAGATTGTCTTAAATTGATTTGTTGACAATCCTAAAGAGGGATTCAATTCTAGATTGATTAGAAGAATCATATCTATCATCAGGAAAAAATGTTTTAAATCTCGCACTTTGGACCTAATTTTTATATAAGAAAAGAGAAACATGGTTCATGAGAGTTACTTTAGTCATTATCAGTTAGTTTTGATCAGTTAGAACCTCATGAATTTTGACAGTGAAGACAACATTGTTGAATTTGTGATACTTGTGATAACGAGACTAACCTTTTGCGTACAAGGCAGTTCTGTAGAGAGGCATCCTATTTTCCCAGCAAATAGCAGCACCAAGTTTGCCAACAGGAGTGTCGTAAAGAGGGATAGTTGATCCATCCCCATAACCCCAGATGCAACGTTCGAGAGATGTTGGCATGAGTTTACGGTGCTTACCCAAGAACCGGCCTTCGGAACTAAAGAACAGGGCTGTGCAGTAGAGTGTATAACCATCCTTCTCTATAGCCCCCATTACCAAATACACATTGTTTTTCCTAGCCACCTCCGCCAATTTTTCTACTTCAGGGCCTGTAGATTCATCACAAAACCAAACAAATGTACAAGAAAGAGTTATATTCGTTCCCAACTGAAGTAGAACTTGCCTTGTCCATTTATTCACTTTGCCACTTTTGCAAATGAAACGTTAAGATTATGTTTACTCGTTACTCACCATTCACTAATTAATCAGATGCATTTTTTTTTGGTCGAATCACTAATCAGATGCTTGTTCCAACAAATTCCAATCTAAAATGTTTCATAAACAGAACTGAAATATGTTCTTCCTTGAAAGTTGATTTTAATTTTTGTCTAATTAAAATTTATTTGTCAGTGGTATACACTATAAACTAGAGATTATCTATATAAACGACAAAAAAACAATAATTTATGTTATCAAAATTCCGATATTTAGATTCTTGGATACAAAATTGTACACCTCCAGTGACATTTTGTAATCTTTTAAACGCATTTTTAATCCAAAAAACACAAAAAAATACGAAACACAGATTATCAACAAACAATAAAAGTCTTTTATTAAAATATATAAAAAATTTTTTTCCAAAGATGTAATTAAATTTCTCTTACCAGGAACATGAATGGCAGAAGCATGATACTTTCGGAACTCATCACGACCTTCATCGTTATGAACACCAACCGCTAAACCAAACCTAAACCCACGAGGATAGCCACCGATAAAAGCCTCCGGGAACACCACCAGCTTAGATCCGTTGCTTGCCGCCTCCGCAGTTAACTTCGCTGCCTTTTCTGCAAATTCAAGTAAAACCATTTCATAAAAACATAGACGTCGTTTAGGGTTCGACTCAGATTTTTGATCAGTGGTACTGGTGGGTTTGCAGGAAACGATCTTTGTTCGAAATCCAAAAAAAAAAAAGATAGAGGAAAAGTGAATAACCTATAGTTTTGGGAGTATCGTTATAGACAGTGGAGGCTTGGACGATGGAAGCTCGAATGATGGAGGATGAGGAATTGCCGTTAACCAGAGAAACCGGAGAAGTGTTTTTGAGAGTTGACATATCTTCACTACCAGACATATCTCAAACCTCAAAGCCTTCTTTCTTATGTTGGTGACACAGAGAGAGTTAAGAGGCAATACTTATATATTTATATACAGACTTTAATGTTATCTTTTACCAATGGTTGATATGCAAGAAGCGTATACAATATGGAATTCTCCGCCTGATATGAACACAGTTGTCAAAGCTTAGGATTAATTACTATTTCGATAGCAACAATTACTATTTCGGGAAAAAAATAAATCATTACTTTTTCCCCGAAATATTCGTTTAATATTTCGGATACTCTTTCCAAAAAAAAAACAAATACTATTTCGGAATTTTGAAATTCATTCAAAATCAGATTAAAAATACCCAAAAAAAAAGCACTTACTATTGAGAAAAACTTTTAACATTGAGTCACAATTTAAAAATTACGATAGTTTCATTTTACTAAATATTAGATGTACTGAGCTGTTTAGAAAATACTAGTTTTTTCATATTTAGATAGAAATTGTACGGGCTGTTTTTTTGTTTAACTTACTTTTAAATTACGTTTTCGTGTTTTAAGTTATATAGGCCATAAAATATTTTATTATATTGATACTACAAAAACTTAAACTTTTAATTTCTGAAATAAATTGTTGAAAAAAATATACAATAAAAAAATTACATCACTTTTTGTGGTTGTTATATAGGATCCGGTCTTCTATGTAAAGTTTTATGTATTTCCGAAATTATTTGGTTAACAAAAGGGCAACTTAGAAGCAATTAAAGACGACATGACTACAGCACGAGATACGATAAATGTGATCCTACATAGTCTCTGACTATATGGGTTAATCTCATTACTCTCCAACATATAAGTCCTACAGTCCTACTCAATCCTCCGTTACTCATGTCCCAAAACAGTCTCGGAAGTTGCCATGATTCTTTCAGAGATGACACCAAAACCAAAGGCAGGCAGATTTAATTAGAGACTTGGGGTCATTCGATAATGTTGACGATCATAATTAAATAATTTCTATACTTATTATACTATTATTTAAACAATCATTTTAAAAAATGAACATTGTTTTGTCAGATATTACATAAAATTCCATTATAAATAAAAACTAATAATTGAAATAGGAAATGATAGAAATATTATTTGAAATATTTGAAAAGAATATGAATATAAATCAGAAATGTATTTAGTTTCTTTACTTATTAAGATAATAAAATATATTGTATGATTTTAAATAATAATCACTCCATATATCTTCAAAAAAATCTATTTAAAGTTTTTGTAGTATTTTTTATTTGGATTTTTTATAAATAATTTTTACTACATTTGAAAATCATTTCAATTATATTTGAATAAATAAATTAAAATATACTTTCAAGATTCAAAACTGTAGATCTTTGTGGATTGATTTAAAAACATTTTAATCTATTATAAAACAGATTTAGTACACATGTTGGTCAGTTTTGATAATCTATAAATAATTATTAGCAAGACATATTATATAATTTATTAAATAAAAGTAATAACATAATCTCAAATAAAAACAATCACAATCAAAGTTCTATTCAAAAAACATACTTATTTAGATTCTATTCATGATGATAAATATGTATATATTATGTCACATCACTTTTCTATTTAAAAATTAGTCATATGTTAAATCACAAAATAATAAAACAATTTCATTAATGTGACGTTTAACCAATTTGAGTATATTCGTAAATATTAAATGTGTCATATATATATATATAATCATCTACATGCCAACAAATTTTAACCAAAATTGTAAAATTTAATTTTCAAACAACTAAAATATTATTCCGCACAAATAGTGAGGGTAAATTTCTAGTATATTAATGAAGACATATGTTGTGTTCTAGAGGCAAATCTACCTTACACAAAAGGGGGCACATGCACCCACTCATAATTTTGTGACCAATGCAAATTTGTTAAAGCTCAACTTAATGAATACACATTAAAATAGAATTATGCTCTCATTATTTTTATTTGGGAAATTTAGTGGCGTAGCAATACGACAAGAGCTATTTAGGTGTCTGAAAACTAAATTTTCTATGGTGTGGAAAGTACCATAAACTTCCTCAGCTCTTTTCCACTCTAACATCTCTTGAGAATGATAACGTATACGTTTTCACATTTTCATTTTTTCTGACAGCTTTCTCTTTCATCAACTTTAATTCAAATTATTTTCCCACACCTTTATAGTCAAGCTTAGGTCTTTAAAATTCATTCATGAATTTCTAAATACGGATACCACACCCATATTCTCTCTTCTCTTATTTCGGCGACTATCCATCTTGCTTCGCTGTTCTCGTCAAGATTAACCGGAGTTTGACAGGATGAGTCTTTATACCATTACCGCCGTTTAAAGCTCCAAACATGGTGGACAAATCTTATGAAACACCGCCTTTTTCATCCGCAGCAAATATTGAAAGGTACATGTTTAGTCGTTGACACATCTACTTCTACTTTGTTATTGTTTTGTAATTTGAATGTTATCTTACTCGCAGTTACCCGTATACGTTGTCGTTAATTTCCAGGATCTAGAATTTTAATTTTTCTCAGCTAGATTTCTCGTTATTCTTCTTCTTTTTGGACACATAAACGTTTGCCTCATAGTCCATTTCTCGTGATTCATGATTTTGGTATTTTTTACCAGCTCACTTCTATTCTCATCCGTCTTATAAATATCCAGATCTACGCTTTCAGATCTGAGTAGTCGACATCCGTCTTAACAGTTCCGTCATCTTTTTGTTGTTATTGATATCTGGTTCTCTTAATTTTGTAGATCTAGAGTAGTTAACTATTTTTATATGCATACTGAGTAAGTAGTAACTACATTGAATATAATCACTAATAATCGTATACTCTTATCATCTATAACAGATACAATAAATAACTACTATATATTCAGTTAGTCTACATAACTACTATGCACATATTGTTGGACCCAAATTATTACAAAGCCCAAAGGCTTTAAAATTTGGTCATGAATAAAAATAAAGCTCTTCAAGGCAATTTAAAATGTGAGGAACATCATTTTGTCCCACATTGGAGGATTGGAAATTTTTTGAGTCATATAAATATAGATACACACATGACATAGTTCAAAGTGTGTGAAGGAGAACCAATGATCCCTCGCGCGCCGCCGCCGCCGCCGAGCCGAGCCGGGCTCGGGTCTTGGGTATTGGGTATTGGGTATTGGGTATTGAGTCTTGGGTCTTGGGTCTTGGGTAATGTGGGCCTTCGGCCCACAAAAGATGTTCTTTTTGGGCCACGTTTTGGTCAACATTTCTGGCCCAAATTGCTAAAGTTTTCGGTTCAAATTCTTGACAGAATCACGACATTAATCTGTAGTCAAATGTCTATCCCAAAAATCACGCCGAGATTAACGCTCAAATCGCGTCATTAGCACAAAATTAATCACGTCATTAACACGCTGATTAAGTACGACGCTCCTCTCTCCTTTGCTACATATATCAACTTCTCCTCTTCCATTTTTGATCGCTCTCTACAAAAATTTTACAGAGAAAAATCGTTCACACTTTTCTTCAATCTCTCGCGTCTCTTTTCTTCTTTCAAGAGTAAGTGTCCGAGAGTATATCATAGAATATTAGTTCGTCACATTCTATAATCGGGTGCTGCGATTATACGAATATCAGTGGTTGTATCCTGGGATTCATTATCTCATCCAACCGCCACACTGCGGGAGATATTTTGAATTAAGGAAAGAGATAATTTTGCCTCCACTTCTCGTTTTTCCGTAATCCGCTTTTATAAAACGTTTTCCTGTATCTCAAATCGTTTTCTTCATTGCAATATTTGTCTCCTCTAAATTTACTTCCTACACATATAACCAACTACTAATATAACTATTGGTAGTTAACTATGTTATAACAATAATCAGTTTACAATAGCTAACTTTTTGCCATTTTTCCTTTGTAGGAATATATGTTCTCTTCGACAATGTGAACCCACACTGTTCACAAATAATGTGCTTCTTCAGATTCGCGATGCACTCGTTGATGTCTCTGTAAGGGTTGCTTGATATTCTGCAAATGATGCTTGTTCATTTGCTTGTTCATGTAAGGTTTTAAACCAAACATTCAAGGAACCATCTCTCATCAAGGCGCTCACCCTATCTGCCTTCATTAAAAGGTTCAACTTAATGAAGTGCTACCCTGAATTCTTCGAGTCAGCAAAATGGATAACTACCAATAATCGACTTCGAGTAGTAGCTATCTAATCTAAATAGACAATTATTAATACTTACTTAAGTATTAGAATCAACTTTGAGTTGTATGGAGAAATTAGACAACTACTAATAATCGATTTGGAGTACTAGCTATCTAATCGAAATATGTTACAAAGTAGTCAACGTCTCTGTGTCATTTAAACGAACCTTTATTTTAAACATAGTCACCTACTAGTAGTCGTCTACTATAAATATATGAACACAACAAACAAAAGAATTAGAATTAAAAAGGACGTCTACACTGAAGTGATAGATGACTAGTGGGTATATGTCTATTTATTTTCAACTTGGTGCAACTATAGAAAGTATCATCCAAAATTTCTCACACTTTCGGGAGTGAGAGAATGTTTGTCTGAGGGGGATACAACTTTTTTATGAAAATAGTTGTCTACTACATATCCAGATACTCTGAGCTAATGATTTTCTATGAAAATAGTCAACTATGGCTATAAAGCTACCATTGTGACACCTTCCAAGACACCTGCTGCAAAGCTTTGCCGCATTCCTCAAATTTCTCTGTGTCATGCAAACGAATTGGATCAACCACATTTCTACCACAAAGTAGTCAACTATGACTCATTATAAAAAGCTGACAATGTTACAAACACTAAATAGTTGACTACGTTACCTTCATTTCTCCTCGGGATGGGATCTTTATTTTCTTTGGTCGACCATCTCGTCAGCGTATTAATGGAGGAAGTAGTTCTGAGACACCATAACATACATGAGTTGGTACGAGGTGGAATGGTCTTTCATAAAGGGATCTCCAAAATCTAGTTGTGTACACCTCTCCTATAAGCTTCTCGTTTGCAATGTTGTTGTAAGAAGAAGTTACCAATAACTTGATATGTACACCTCTCCCATTTTTCTGTTGTAAACTTCATA